CCAAGTGCTGCCACCCTTGTCTGTTTTTGTTACAGGTCGGTGTAACAACTTATACACATACGAACGTCATTTCAATTCGATCATTCTATGTGCCTACACATGCCTTATTTCCAGTAAAAAAAATAGTGAACATTTTTAATCAAATTAATTCGAATTAATTTCATCGACAGACAGTGACAGTGCCGGTGCCAGAGACCATTCGTACAACAAATTCGATATCGACGAAGGGATTTTCAAACACTTTTTCGACCACCAGAAAGATGGCATCAACTTCGTTCTGAAAAATTGCTTTGAAGGCCAGGGATGCATTCTGGCTCATTGCATGGGCCTAGGTATGTATTCCGAGTTTTGTCTAAATAGCAAGTAAGCCGAGCGAAGCGAGCAATACCTGGCAATAACATACAGCTGTATGGACAAGTCTTATCGATGAACGTTTCACATATATTTAGGTGGATTATATTTTGGTTGTACGTGGAATATTCATTCCTTAGCTCTTTTATACGTTCATGCTCAATTGTTTTCAATATATTGAACCCACATCGATCCACATTGATACCTTTATTTTAATTTATTCATCTTAGGTAAAACGGCGCAAATTATTGCTTCGGTTGATGCGCTAGTAAAGCGATCAATAATTAAATCCACACTTATCTTGTGTCCAATGATACTGGTGGAAAATTGGGCCAAAGAATTCAAAGAATGGCTCCAAAAACGTGCAGTTAAAAAAAAAATCAATGTTCAAATATTCCTGTGAGTCCCTTCTCCATCGATTATAATAAACTTATTCATATGTCTTTAAATTTTTTGTGTTTTTCTCCCGCTTTCTTCGACTATTGTAATAATATTTATCGATTTGTTCTTGTATTTAAATCTCAGCAATGTTCCAAAAGAAAAGAGAGTACGTCGCGTCGAAGATTGGCACAAAAACGGCGGAGTTCTCATAATGAGCTATGAAACATTCACGTCTTCGTTGACAGAATACAAAAACACATCAAATCCACATTCATCTGAAGACGAAGATTTTGACGTGAGACAATTTTTGCAAAAGCCAGGCCCAGATCTGTTGGTTTGCGATGAAGGGCATCGACTTAGCAGCCCGAAAAGTGCTTTGTATAAAGCTGTGTACGGAGTTCAAACCAAACGAAAGGTTCTAGTCACCGGTACACCTTTTCAAAATAATTTCAATGAAATTTTCTATTTGGGCAATCTCGTTCAAAATGGTGTTTTCGGTGAGTTATCGAAGTTCAAGACCGTCTTCGAAGAGCCAATAAACCAGGGGAAATTCAAAAGTTCATCACGTCAACAAGTCGCAACCATGAAGGGACGAGTTTTTGTTCTGCATCAAGTGTTGAACAAATTTATCCACCGAAAAGACATAAGCATTCTGGCGCCGAAACTAAAGCCAAAGTTGGAATTCGTAGTCTACGTGCCAATGACTAAAATCCAATGTGATTTACACTTCGTAAGACTTTTATTTTAATTCGTTATTATTCCCTTTTCACACATTTTTAATTTTCTTTCATTTTCGCTTCTTTCTGTTGTTTCGGGTCTTTTCTTATCTTTCCGTCAGAAATATTTATATGAACATTCAAACAAAGCCCAAAGCCAGGAAGGTGGTGAAAATGGTTTTTTCAATGATTACAACACATTCGAGTTGATATCCGCACATCCTTGCGCATTGGGATTGAAAGAAGACGAAGCCGAACTTCCAACATTTCCACATGATTGCCGGACATGTCCCCATTGGTGGACAGATTTGTGTCAAAATGTGCACGATGACATTGAATACTCCAATAAAATGAAGCTGCTCTTTTCCATTATCGATCAAATGGAAGACACCCTAGGACCACCAGAGGGAAAGACAGCAAAATTATTGGTGTTTTCACAGCGAATCCAAAGCCTGCGTATGATCGAGCACCTTCTGCAAAAATCCGTTTGCAAGCACACTGGAAATCCATGGAAGCTTGGGGAGGATTTTTTCAAATTGACCGGGCAAACGAAAAATCGACAGCATGTGATTGACAAATTCAATAAATCCCCCAAAGCAAGGTAAATCATGTGCAAAAAATACCTATAGACATTATAAATTGCGTGCAATTTCACACTTTCTATTTTGATTCTTTTTATTCCATACGATTTTTGTTAGAATTTTGCTAATGGCAAAAAAGGCATCTGGACTGGGCATTAATTTAGTGAGCGCCAATCGTGTAGTAATCTTTGAACCATCATGGAATCCAACACTTGATGTAAATAGTCATTTCTCATTTTATTGTTTTCAATCGTTTTTAATGCATTTTGTTATCTTCTACTAACACAATTGATACTTTTCTATATTTTTTCATCTTTGATCCGCTTTGTTCATAGGCCCAAAGCGTTTTCCGTGCCTATCGACTCAAGCAAGTGAACTCAACTTATGTTTACCGCTTCATTTCATATGGCGGAATGGAACAAAAGGCCTACGAGCGCTCAATCAACAAACTGGCCACTTCCAAGCGAATTTTCGATATGTCCGCGGTTGATAGAAAGTTCGACGAAGAAGACCTGATTGAGATGTATAACATCACACAGATCGAAGGTGATGAGGTAGTAGCCAATGAGTGGTTGCAGAGCAAAGACGCTCTCTTGCATAAAGTCTGCGGATACAAATGCATCGAGCATGATTCGCTGCTAGGCAACACCACAGAAGTCGATTTGACCCAAGCACACAAGCGCGCAGCCATTGAAGACTTCAACAATGAACTGCGAAAACCGGGCTTCGAAACCGTCCGGTTCAGCTTGGAGCAAGAGATACCACCTGCTCCAATAGAATTCATTGAAGTCGACACACACAGCTCCATCGGAAGCGGTTCGGATTTCGAAGATATGGAAACCGATACCGAGTTGACTGTATATGGCTTCCAAAGGGACATCTTCCTACGCGTCCTGTTCCAGATGGCGCGAACACTCCACCCACACGTATTATCGCCCGAGAAGATATACATGATGCACATCCCAGAAGTTCTTGAAAAGCTGATGCTCGAAATGGATGTTGGTAACAAAACGGTATGGATGGGTACGGAAAGATAGACTTCAGTCGATATATATATATATTTTATTTCTTTTTCCAGCTATGCGACCAACTGTTCGAGACTCAACGAGAAATCATCAAAACCGATTGGCAAATGGCGCATTTGAATTCGCAGCCGAAGAGGAAGCTCATTTTGCTTACGGAATTGCCGAAAAAACCGCGAAAACTATTTTCTTAGAAACCAAACACATTGTACCAATCAACTTTATAAATAAACAATAAATGATTTTCTGAAATAAAAAATAATCGTCTATATGCACTTCACACAACTGTGAAACATTGGTTGGTGTACACCAACCAATGTTTCACAGTTGTGTGAATTGCACATCGATGAGTCATCGACACCCATCGATGACTCATCGATGTGCGCTTCACACAACTGTGAGAGGTTGGTTGGTGTACACCAACCAATGTTTCACAGTTGTGTGAAATGAATATCGATGAGTCATCGATGGGTGTCGATGACTCATCGATGTGCATTTCACACAACTTTGAGACATAACCAACCAACCTCTCACAGTTGTGTGAAGCGCACATCGATGAGTCATCGATGGGTGTCG